AGCCTTTCAACAGTCACCCAATGCAATGTGTCATTTGATCCCTTGATTGCTGCTTTAAAGAGTTTTTACTTTTTAAGTTTTATTGACACTTAATCCACATATCACACAATTCAATAGTTCAATAATATTAAGATGAGTTGTACAATCATTACCACAATCAATTTTAGAACAACCCCCCCCCATGATTAAATCACTTTTAAAATGAGTTGCAGAATCTACATCAAATTCAAAAGCAAATGAGTTCATAAATCAAAATGAGTTTTGATTATATATCCAAATAAGATAAAATCCTTGACGACTTCAACCTTTTGTCCATTAATCATGATGTTGTGTATTGGACCAGTTGTGAAGACTTTTGTCTGAGTTTACACTGAGCTGTAACCCATGTTGGAGATTAATCCTTGGTCATCGTCAGCACATGCCTCCAGTGTTCCTCGCTTTCAGCAAGCAGGGGTGTATCATCTGCATTTCACAGGTTGTAATAAGCCTTTTCCAAACTGATGCCCCATTCTTTTCCCTATAATCCAGCTTTTCTGATTGTTCAGCATGTAATTTGAATAAGTAAGGTAAGAGGTTATAACCTTGAACCAAGTGTGTTATAGCAAAGTATAGTGAAGAAATTAGATGGTGCCCAGCAATGAGAAGGAATAAAGTCTTAAAGGCTGGTCTTTAAACAAGCAGCCGTATAACTGAGGTATCAATTAAGTCCACAAGGAAGAAATACACCAGCTTGTATGATCCAAGGACTGTAAATAATAAAATCCAAAACCAAAATAGGTAGTGGTGTCAGAGCTTAAATTGTGAACACCTGGTTTTCAGAAGATATGGATGACAGTGGAAGTCCACAATCCATTTCCAGAGTCCATAAATTAATTAAACCTCCTAAGAATTTCCTCTGATCAGAGTTTAGGGATGTGAATAACCTTGCTGTGAGAGAGAGAGTCATTTATGGTAGATTTAGGTTAAAATGTAAAATAATTTGATCTTGATTTTGACCCATTT